TTCAACATGCTAGCATCGTTTAAGTCAATAGCCTATACATTCTTAATCGAGAGTCGGCCGTACGAAACAGAATAATTTCGTGAAACGTGAACCGACTTGTGTCGTTTTCATGAAGATACTCGTTTCCGCGGCGATGATAGCCGTATCGTGGGATAATGAAATCATTTTTAAGACACGTGTTACACGCGATACGTCGTCAGAGACGAGACGCATCTGTTTCCAGAGATGCATTCACGATCGTCGCGAGACGACCGATGGAACTATTTGTTCACTGATTTCGTATTCCTATAATTCCTGATTAGACGAAGTCGCCTGTCTCTTTATAAAAGAATTTCGGTGAAACTATAAGAAATGAATCAACAGATCTATCTTGTTGGCACGAGATAAATAACGTTGGTTCCTCTATTTAATTTCCAATTATCGGTCGGGGTTTTTTCCACTGCGATAGCTGAACAATGGGACTCAAGGTATTAGAACAATAGAGCGAACATTGCGCAACTACCTGAAACCCCTAATTTACAAATATTGCGAGGATTCCTATACTCAAGGTTTTCTTGCACTTCGGGAAATATCAGGTCAGAAAATCCCGCAATCCTCCTTAGGGTCTTCACGACCCATACACTTCTTCCCCCCCAATTGCCCATCGTGGTTCCAACTTTCACCAATGGAAAATTTTGGGAAACGTTCGGGAAATTCCGGCATCGAAAATCGTCCTCTGCTCATGATTCCACTAAACCATTTCTCCATAGCAATTTATTCGCGTTCATCTGGCAATCGTGCATGAAACGTGATACATATTTATGCTGACCTACGAGCTCGGCGATGAGAAAATTGACGTAGTACACCGCGTATCTTCTTATACTACGCGTAACGTAATCATCTGGCATGACTCGACTCGAGTCGCGTTATCTCAGTGAAACGATGAGCGCAACCGGAACATGGGAACCGTGACATGATCGGATCTCCTGGTGCTTCGTTGTTGCGAATTGGGTCGCTCGAAGTCTTCATCTCCGCGCAATAGTTCTCCGTGCGATAACGATATACGCACTATTCGAACTACACGTCGCGGCGTATCACGCATGTGGCACCGCGACCTCGACGCGATTACACGCTTTCCGTATACGTTCGATCTATACAGCACTTCTCGTAACAATGCGCTTAGACAGCTCCTTCGATCGAGTCAGACGGCGCACAGATGCGTCCGTAATTAATCCTACGTTTAAGTTTAGCTAACATCGACAGACAGATCGATAAGAGATTTTCTAATCAAGAATATTCGCACCAGTTCTCGGTGAATATTCGCGATTCGAATCGGTTTTATTTCGTAGGAATATTAACGTTTTTATTTCACTAACGTATTGATAATGAGCATAGTTTATGTTCAACTATTAATTTTGATATTCTGCGTTTTGAATATGTAACTTCCGGTTTAGGCGCATTTTCATTTGGGTGTCCGATCCCTCACTGGAGGGTCTCTAGTATAAATTAGTATTCAGCTCGTC